CTACAGCTTAGGGCATACGGTTTAGGGTTTAGGGTTTAGGGTTTAGGGTTTAGGGTTTAGGTTTTAGGGTTTGGGGTGTATGTACAGTTGCGGCTTATTTATATATTCTAATGGAGTACTGCCCTGGGCGAACGCTTAGAGAGGCGATAGACTCGGGCATGTTGCTAGATAAGCCGCAGCAGCTGCAGCAGCAGCTGCAGCAGCTGCAGCAGGAGCAGGAGCAGCAGCAGCACCCACAGCAGCAGCACCCACAGCAGCACCCACAGCAGCAGCAGCAGCAGCAGCAACAGCAGCAGCAGCAGGAGCAGGAGGGTTTCTTAGGTGCTTCTGTAGACAGTCTGCTCGTATGTAAGTGGGTTATAACCAAACAATTAGTGCAGGCTGTGGTGTACATACACCAGAACGGAGTTATACACAGAGACCTCAAACCCTCAAACGTCTTCTTAAAACCCGCAGATGAAGAAGGCTCTCTTATTGTCAAGGTCTGCTAAACCCTCATAAACCCTCATAAACCCTCATAAACCCTTATAAACCCCCATAAACCCTCATAAACCCTCACCCTAAACCCTAAACCCCCGATGTGTCTTTCCTTAGTGATGCGGGTTCATTCTCTCCAGTGAAGCAGATTAGAAGAAAAGGGTAATAATAAGGGTTACAGCTTAGGGCATACGGTTTAGGGTTTAGGGTTTAGGGTTTAGGGTTTAGGGTTTGGGGTGTATGTACAGTTGCGGCTTATTTATATATTCTAATGGAGTACTGCCCTGGGCGAACGCTTAGAGAGGCGATAGACTCGGGCATGTTGCTAGATAAGCCGCAGCAGCTGCAGCAGCAGCTGCAGCAGCTGCAGCAGGAGCAGGAGCAGCAGCAGCACCCACAGCAGCAGCACCCACAGCAGCACCCACAGCAGCAGCAGCAGCAGCAGCAACAGCAGCAGCAGCAGGAGCAGGAGGGTTTCTTAGGTGCTTCTGTAGACAGTCTGCTCGTATGTAAGTGGGTTATAACCAAACAATTAGTGCAGGCTGTGGTGTACATACACCAGAACGGAGTTATACACAGAGACCTCAAACCCTCAAACGTCTTCTTAAAACCCGCAGATGAAGAAGGCTCTCTTATTGTCAAGGTCTGCTAAACCCTCATAAACCCTCATAAACCCTCATAAACCCTTATAAACCCCCATAAACCCTCATAAACCCTCATAAACCCTCTTTAAACACCCTCATAAACCCTCATAAACCCTTATAAAACTTCATAAACCCTCATAAACCCTCATAAACCCTCATAAACCCTCATAAACCCTCATAAACCCTTATAAACCCTCTTCAAAAGCCCTCATACACCCTCATAGGCCCTATTCATAAACCCTCGTAAAGCTTCTTTAAAAACCCTCATAAACCCTCATAAACCCTCATAAACCCTAATGTAAACCCGCATAAACCCTAAACCTCAAACCCTTATTAGCAGCCCAAACCTGAGCCTCTCTCCACACCCACCACTTTCTAAGCCAAAGGCATACTTAGGGTTTAGGGTTTAGGGTTTAGGGTCTGCATATAAAGGAATACACAGGGTAATGAAGCTTTCCTGCGTCTCCGTATGCACCATCGAGCCTCTGACTGGAGTTTAAGTTCAGGGTTTTAGGGTTTAGGGTTTTAGGGTTGGCGGTCCCGATGAGACTTTAG